TTTTAATTTTAATTTAATAAATATAATTTACTAATAATATTTTATTGAGAAAGCATAACAAAGTATTGGTTATGAGTCAATTACAAGCTGAACTTCAAAAGCAAAAAGTTCTTCAAAATATAAGATAAATAGGGGTATTTTGACGAAATTAAATTTACTACTATGTAAACTTTTTATCAGCAAATTTAAAATTAAAGTATTTAAAGTCACTAAAACTATGCCTTATTTAAAATTAAAGTAATACTAAATAAAAAAGAATTTATTAGTTGTAATGATACAAAATCGTCATTTTGCATAAACATATAATAAATTGAAAATTTTGATAAAAATAGGGATTGTGACGAATTTATTTTTTATTTTTCAATTGAGCCTTTTTCTGCCTTTTTTCTAATGTTTGTGCTAAGTTAAGTTTTTGTGCAGCTTTCTTTTCAGCTGCTATTTCTTTCTGTCGGTTTGTTTCTATAACTTTTCATTCTGCTTCCTCATTTATTTCTTTCAATTGTTGCTAACTTTCTTCGTTTGTAAGAAGTCGAGCAAAGGAAAGTATTTTTCTTTTTTTCTTAGGAGGAAGTAAAGGAAAATCTGGAATTTCAAGTTGGTTTTTAGAAGGCTCTTGAAAATTATTAGCTTGCACATTACGAGAAACTGGATATTTAAAAGCCAAGCATAAGTTACATATTTCAGGATTTTTGTAGGTATCCAGTTTCTCTTTTAATAATTTGTTTTCATTTTTAAGCTTTATATTTTCATCATATAACTTTTTAACATTCAATTTTATAGGATTTGGTTGGTAAGATAGTCGAAATGCTAAAATTAATTCAGCTGATTGCTCTGAATAATTAAATTGTTCAGTTGTTAACGAAGGGTCTAACTGATCTGGACTAATTGCATTAGGATTAAATGGCCATATTCTGGTTGCCTTATAAGTATTACAGATTGCTAATGGAGTATAAGTTTCAAGAAAAGCAGGTCCAAAAACTTTCGCAAAGGTATGCTTTTTTACTATCATACCATTATTATTATTGCTATACCTATCACATGATTTACTATATTCTTTTTTTAGCTTTGCAAATGGAATTTCTGACAGTTATAATACATGTGTTGTATAAGTGAAAGTGCATAAAGAAGGATACCATTTTGACAACAAAAATCAACACTTATATAGTTAATATGGCTTTTATGACCATCCAATATTAATAAAACTGGACGAATAGACGAAATTGAATTAATAAAATGATTAATATACATTTGAAAAAGTTCTTCATGCATGTATCCTGTATTTGTAAATCCCATTATAGTTCCAAAAGGTGCTCATTCTAATAAACCAGAAATTGTTCTAATACCTTTATAAATAATCAAAGATGGTATATATGATCCAGCAGCTGAAATTGTTGGTGCTAATGAAATATGCTCATGAGAATTTCCATGTAAAATTTTATGCACTTGGCGTACACCTTTTCGCATAATAATTTTTTAAGATTTGGGAATAATAACAAATCCAGTTTCATCCATATTCCAAATTTTACTGCAGTAAATGAATTCTCATTTATAATTTGTCAAAGTTTTTCAAAATGATTATTAACAACAATTTTATTTGCTTATTGTGCATGTGCTTCTGATAATTCTTGGGAAGTACGAATTGATAGCTCAGGATGGCCCCTCATAAAACATTTCCACCAATCTTGATCTGGCTCATTTTCTCCAAATAGATGTTGGTGTTTATTTAATTGCATAATTTCCATAACACAATATTTAACTCCAGATTTTGTTAAGCCAAATCCAAGTTTTTGCATATTAATACAATAGTCAGCAAGTTGATCTTCTTCATATTTAGCAAGAATAGTTGGTGGACCTGAACGATTAAGAAGACCACCATTTTTTACAGTTCTTCGAAGTGTAGCTTCTGAAAGTCCAAAGCTTTTTGCTATACTATTTATACTTTCGAGTTTTGAATCTAAAGGATAATTTTTTAATGTATCAAGTGCTGCACGAATAATATCTTGTCGATTTGAAGAAGACTGCAGCATTTTATTTAATGTAATACAAAGTAATATAACTAGCATTTAAATAATTAAATAAAATATATTTTATACACGTGTTTAATGTCACTTGTTTATATTATTGATACTTCACGATAAAATAAATAATAAGAAACATTTAACGTGACTTCAATCAGTTCATCATAATATCCCTATTTATCTTACAAAAACTAAAAAAAACATCACAATTTGATTCTACTAATAAAACACCAATCTTAAATGACGAAATTGAAGCAGATACGAATGAATTTGAAGAATTTTGAGTATCAGATTATTTAGATGAAAGAAATAGTAGCAATAATGAGGAGAAAGAAAATGATAAGGAAATAATGACGTTAGATTGGAGTGCATGTATTAATTGTTAGATTGAAATGGTTAATGATGAATTATATGAAAATGAAATTAATATTGAAAACTGAAGTATAAATAAAAATATTCATCTAGCGGAAGATTTGAAAGCAAAATGGGTTTTATTCGACTTATTTACAACTGGTCTCAAAGCACCATCATTTGTTATAGATCTTGATTCAATTGAAATTTAATGTATATAATAATAATAAATTTTGATATTTTAAGTATACAATTAAATAATTCTTTTTATCTTTATTTTTTATTTTTTAATATTGATATAAATATACAGAATAATTTTTTTATCTATCGTACTTGAAAAATGATATCATTTTTAGGTCATTTTATATCATTTGACGTTATTTTTATACCTATCACTTTATGTTCAAAATAAATTCTATTTCCCTACAAAATATATAAAAAAAGAAACATTAATAATGTTTCTCACGTCAATATTGAAAAAAATCCACCCCAATAGACTTACAAGGCTTTTTTAAGGTTTCGAGAGTCTGACCCCTACAAAATTTTTTAAAAAAAAGAAACGTTAATGATGTTTCTCAAATAAATGCCGAAAAAAATCCACCCCAATAAACTTACAAGTCTTTTCCAAGGTTTCAAGAGTCCGACCCTTATAAAATATAAAAAATAAAACGTTAATAACGTTTTTTAAGTAAATGCTGAAAAAAATCCACTCCCAATGGACTTACAAGCCTTTTCCAAGGTTTCAAGAGTCTGAACCCCTATAAAATATAAAAAAAGAAATGTTAATAACATTTCTCAAGTAAATGCTGAAAAAAATTCACACCCAATGGACTTACAAGCCTTTTCCAAGATTTCAAGAGTCTGACCCTATAAAATATATAAAAAAAACGTTAATAACGTTTCTCACGTTAATGCTAAAAAAAATCCACCCCCAATAGACTTATGAGTCTTTCTCAAGGTTTCAAGAGTCCAACCCTTATAAAATATAAAAAAAAAAACGTTAATAATATTTCTCAAGTTAATGCTGAAAAAAATCTATTCCCAATGGACTTACAAGCCTTTTCCAAAGTTTTAAGAGTCTGACCCCTATAAAATATAAAAAAAAGAAACATTAATAACGTTTCTTAAGTAAATGCTAAAAAGAACCTACACTAATGGACTTATAAGCCTTTTTCTAAGGTTTCAAAAGTCCGATTCCTATAAAATATAAAAAAAAGAAATGTTAATTTGTTTCTTAAAAGTAATTTTTTTTAAAAAAAACCTTACTAAAAAGCAGTGTGTAAAATCTATGTGCATAATGTGCATATGTGCACATTAATTTTTTGTGTATACATATTACACAACATAAAATGTGCATAAATTATTACTAAAAATAGATAAATTATGTATAAAAAAGGTAATTTTACATAAGAAAATGTTATGATTTTCTTATTTTAGTAATAATTAATCAATTTGTACACATAAATTTTAACTTAGATTTTATATACTGCTAAAAAGCATGACGCTATAATTAAATAAAGTTTTTGCGGAAATGTAATTTTTTTATCAGATTTTGGTATTTTTTATTTTATTAACGTTAAGTAATACAAGTAATTATGTAATTAAATAAAAAATCTAATATCTAATTAATTTAAATCACGTGATTATGCAATAAACCTGAGTCATTTAATAAGATCTATTAAAAAATTATAAATAGACCAAATGATCTAAACCAATAGATCCTATAGTAATTTGGTCTATTGATCTTCACATGACCAATACTGCTTTATATATTTTATGCATCTGTGATAAAGTATTTATAAATCTATAATATTACCTAGGATTTCTTATTTATGTATGATATTATTACAGTCAGTTCTTTATATTGTTTAAATATTATAAGCGGACAGATAATATATATGGTAAGCAGAAGGTTTAATTTATAGTTGAAATTAGATAAAATATAGGTATTGGTAGTTTATTTGATATATACTAACAAATGAGTACTACCTCAAACATCGGCGCTTCTGTACTATACAAATGTTCTAAATAATCAAACTAAACTAATTTAGACTATTCCTATAAGTCTTTACTTCAGTGAACTCAGTGAACTCTGTCTGAACTCTAAGGATTCTCAACTCATATTTATATAAAATAAAATATATTATTATCTTATGATACTAATGACTGAAAATTAGTATTAACGCAAGATTAACAAAGGATTTAGCTTTACAATTTATAATGCGAGATTTATGGAGAGCTTCTAAAGGTTTATAGATCAAATGTATTTCAGATTAAAGTATAATTTATGGGTTAAGTAATTTAGATTTTTATTAAAGAAAAGAATTATTACAAGTGTATTTGTTATCATACAAGTGTATCTAGTAATTATCTTATTGACGATAAAACTAAGTAAATTCTTTACTTAAAAGTTCCTATGTTATTGAAGTTCTAAAGCTACCTTATTTATAAGAAATAAAATAATAATAATAAAAATATAAATAAAAATAAAAAATGTAATAATTGGTCTTTTATTATATATCTGACATATATTACATATATAGCAGATTTGGTCAATCTGGCAGATCTGGCAGATTTGGCATTTTTCACAGATCTGCCAATTTTAGCTGATTGGATGGATTTTGTAACAAGGTAAATAGTTTATTACAATTTATAATTGTTAATAATGTAAAATAAATAAACTAAATATAATTAATAAACTAAAGAAAATAAATAAAATAAATTAAATAAATAAACTAAGTTAACTAAATAAATGAGTTAGATGACGTAAACGAGGTTAACAAGATTAACATAGTTTTTAAGGATCTACATTAGAAAGATCATTCTAATGATTTTCATGTAACATCACTCTCCTTCAAGATTTTGTATTCCAGCAAAAATATTAGTAACCTTTTTTACAAGAGTATTATATTCCTTGATTAGATAATTCGTTGAATTGGGTTGGTAATTGTGTTTGAGCTGAGGTTCTTATTGTCGATCATTTATAATAAATATTATTCTATATTTTGTAATTTTAATCATGTTGATCTGGTTTTCAACTGTGATTATACATGAAGTCGAAATGGATCATTTCAGATATCTGAAATAGTCAAAATAGTCGAAATCATTTTGACCATTGGAGGCTAAAGTCGTGAAATAGTCAAAATGATGTCATATCACATGATTTTTTATATTTAAAAAAAACAAAAACAAAAGATGTACGAACTTAGTCAATATTGCTCTGATTTGTATGAAACAACTACGATTCGATTCCTCATTCAATTTCTTAACACTCTTTCTAGTTGGATTTTTTCCAAGAATTTTTACTTAAAAAAGTGCCCGTTCAACAGCGGCCGCGGCCAGTGTTGTCATGGGACATAGTTAGGACACTGATGGGACACTGATGGGACATTGATGGGACAGATGGGACATTTG